AAAATAAAAAGAATGTTTTACCCCTTAAAGGCATTTTCTTTGCAATACCATCTCGTATAGCAGCTGTGTGATCACCTGTGTCTGCTATGAAGGTTAACAACGAGCAGATATGTACCTATATATATATATATATATATATGAAAGTTAGTCCCAATACTTAGGCTTCGGAACAGAATGTGGGCAGGACTTCCTTCTCCAATACAAAGGGGAAGCATCCACTTCGGCCCTTTAAAATTTCGATATATTTCCGATTTTCTTAACTTGAATTGAGTGATTTGTTCAAAATAATGATTTATTATAAAGAGGCAAAAATTCTAAAATGCATTCAATGAGAGGAGATAAAGAGTCGAAAGAACAAGACAAAGAGATTAAGGTAAAAAAATAGAAAGTTATGTAAGGCTGCTTATTTTGACATTAATTTTACATGTTCTCATTTCCATTATATATTGTCTTCTACCACACGAAGTTAAAATTGGTACTATAAATGTAAAACGCTTTCAGGGATCATACCATCGTATTTATTCAATATCTTCTTGCTGAAGGTAAGCGTACATATGATAAGTTCCATTCACTCTCAAGTTTGGTCTCCCCCATCACACATTTTGTCTTCGACACCTATACAACAGATTCAAATAGTGGATTGTTTGTAACACAGTGAGCTATCTCTGCTCTACTCACAACGGGCATCGAAACTCGGATTCTAGCGTTTTAAGTCCGCAGACATACCGCTGTGCCTCTGGGGGGGATCAAACAGTGGACTCCATAACTCTTGTTGTTACTGATCCGTTATTACTAGCAGTTTGGTGGGGATGCTTCATTAAGAAAATGAGTAATACTGTCAAACAGAAACCCAGCGGGATTCGAACATTAACTTATGCTTGTGAAGATCGTGCTGGTACCAACTGAGCTATCAGGCTCGAATGTTTCAACATTCATTTTGTTGTTACTGAGGAAAAAATGGCATGATCCTTAAACAATGCGAAGTGGTATCTATAGTTTAAAATCGGCGCAATAGCATCTTTATAGGATGTACCGAGATTAATAAGAACTGTTGGAAGTGTAATACTGCCCTGTGTCATTGTTCTATTAAGTTCAAAGATAGTCTTTATAATCTGTAAAATAATATAATTATTGATTGTATTTTATACAAAGAAGCATCAGTAAAGTCAGAGCACTTGCCTAAATAAAATACACTAAGTTATATAGAGCAGAGAAACATCTTTTCTGACAAGAGGAAATTCTCAATAGCCGCGACACTTGAAATTAATTTAGGCAGGATTAGATTAAAATAATTTATGAGACCTTTTTTCCTTTTTTTAGCTATTTTTCTGTGCGCCAGCAATACCAAGCTTGAAACGCGCGTATATCCTATTCTATTTTATTACTTATCAGGATCTCTATCAGCCTACCCTTAAATCGAAATTATTTTAGGTAAGTTTAGAGTAAATTAATCTATGAGACCTTAGGCGGAGTCAAATACATCAATCGAAAGGGTTTCACCTCTTGTGTCGAAAACTGTAATTAGACCTCAGATCGGTCAAGAAGTAATGGAGCTATAAACTAAATAATTGTACTTGAAAAAACGAACAAACTCAGAGCCATATATGAGCCACCATGCCATAGTACAGTTAAACGGACAAGAGAAATCGGCCATTGTATACTCAGCAAAATAAACTAGTCGCTGCATGTTTTCTAGAAATAGAAGGATGTCCTGATTGTAAACGTTCTGCTGATAAAGCTTTTAAAGCTGTTTTCCTATTTTGTTTGCTACTGTTGAGGGTATTTCTTTTCTAACGCCCTGAGAAACGTATTTCGACTACTAAATGTATATTTTGGTTCCTACTGTTTGTCACTGAAGCCCTTTCTCATAGTTCAAGGTTACTGTGTTGCAATATGAAATAGGCTGAGTTTCTTAGAAATTCACATTATCGTTCCAGAAATAGAAAAAGAACGACATATTATGTCTCCATTTTTTATCATCCAGAGAACTAAAGCTTTTCAGCGACGTAGAACTGTCTAGAAATAATACACACACACATATATATATATATATATAAAGCAAGGTAGGGCCTCTTGTTTCACAGCGTTGATCCTCAACCAAAACAAAGTACAGCCACTGCAGAACAAACGTTCATAAGACACGTTTAGATCACGTATCACTTCATAACGCTTAGTGCAAGAAATTTTATGAGGTAAACATGTTACTTACTGTACAGTTGACAATGACATATTCTTAGAGCAGAATTTCTTCCAAGACAAAAATCTCATAAATCTATATCAAAATCCTGATATTGTTAACGAACTTCGATATTTCTACAGAAAGCTAACATTATAAAACGCGTTATTTATTTTGTCGGGTATAACGGTTCAATGAAAATACTCATTCTTTTAACAAAAGAATGCTTTAGTGAAGTATAATAGACATTTTTTTGTTTGCTGTGTTATACAATTTTAAAGTTGTCACTATTTAACGTGAGAGCTGTTCCACAAGACTTTGAAATGTGTGTACGTTTAAAGCACTAATGATATTTCTTCAGTAGGTGTATGTGAAAAACAAACAGCCTTAGCTATTTAAAAAAGACAGAAATCTTAAACTATTTCAGATAACACAGGCCTGCGATGGTTTTATTGTCTTGAAAGTTTTACATGTTCTGCAGCAATTCCTGTAGGCTGTATTGGGACATTATATTCATTTTTGCTTGTTTGTTTGTAATTAAGCACAAAGCTACACAATGGGTTATATGTGCTCTGTCCACCACGGGTATCGAAACCCGGATTCTAGCTTTGTAAGTCCGCAGACATACCGCTGTGCCACTGGGGGGTATATTCATTTTTCTCCATCACGTACAGATTTTTCGCAAAACGTTATAACGCAATACATAAAAGAAAGTTTTGAGACTAAAAGACGTAGATTTCACTAAAAAAATCAGGATGAATGAGGATGAATATTCGTTTGACATCAATGCGCTTCCCTTTTCTTCAGTTTGTTTGTATTTTTGTTAATAAACATAAAAAAATGTTCATTGTGGTAAACGAAATAATAATTTGATCTAAATACGAGTTTTTTTCTTCTTCCCGATTTGTAAAAAAATTCTTGCGTGATAGAAAAAAATGAATATTATTTTCGAAATCTGCGTAACTGAATTATGGGAAATCCGTTATTAAAACTATAGCAACTTTTATGAAGTTTAAATTCGCAGGCCTGTGTAATTTTAAGTTCATATCTGGATTTTTCTCATTATATACAATCTTGTAACGAAACTGAATTAACTTCGTACATCCACGCCAGATAGATGACACACAAAAATTACAAGTTGGTTTGGACAAAATATGACACATTAGACATTTAAAAATTAAAGAAAATACTGCATTTAACACACAACGATGAAGATAATCTATCTTTCAACAACACAAGTTCCTCAGAATCTGTGACACGTTACTGAAATATTTTTCTTTTTATCAACATAATCTCCACCCAATGGTTTAAAAGCAAGAGCAGTCTGGGTGCTTGAGTATTCAATTCATTTGATTCTGGTACAAATGAATTATTTGATTTGATTTAAAGATCTAAGTTTGACATGTTTTGTGACATAACATTATTAAGTTGTGTACACGATAATTCAACATTTTTCATGTTTGTTTGTTTGTAGTTAAGCACAAAGCTATAAAAGGTCTATCGGTGCTCTGCCCACCACGGGTGTCGAAAGCAGGGCGCTGAGGAAGTTCCATGGTTCGATGCTAAGGTGTGTC